AATAATGTTAACAATTTAATAATCAAATCGATTTTACTATTAAAATAGACATTAAATTATTCAAAATAGAAATTAGACGTCTGGACCTATTTGACAGCTTATGCGGAAAGTAGATTGATATTCACACACGTGTGGAAAGTAAACTTATCCACACGCGTGTGATATAGACAAGACTAAATAGTGCGATAGGTATCACTTTCCTATGTGGTCGTAGGAAAAAAATATTTGATGAAGAAATGATCTCTAACCTAACTAGTGGGCTTAATAAGCATATGACAAATTTAATCGTAAAAATAATATTAAATAAAACGTAAAGTCATATGTCACGCATACATTCCAATACATGTTGCGGTATTAGCCAATAGAGTAGTAGTTTTCGCCGGTATTTTGTGACATGTGGTTTTGCGTTTTATATATTTTATGATACGTCTTGGTCACATCTGATACTAACATATATTCTTTTTTGCGATCTTGAATCGGAAAATTCGTGGATTATATCTTGAAAATCCGTGTCGCCAGTCACATCATTTTCAATGCATAGAACTCCTAGTGAGGAAGTACACTCTTGGCCCATAGTTGAACGCATAAAATTTTTTCAGCGTTCTATTACAGAGGTAGTTTCGGGATAAAAACTAGAAATTCATAGACAAACTTTTCAGCTAAGTCGGATGCATAAACTGTAACTAATGCTTCAGCCTTAAGTTTGTTATCAGCCGTAAGTGATTTGTCGGTGAGAAAACTAAATTTCTCATGAATTTCAGTGTATGCAGCTAGTCTCAGTAGAATGAACATCCAAAACACTAAAACATCTTTTATAAAAAGTCTTTTACACTGCGAGGTAATATCTCAGTGATTTTTTTTTCCATTTTTCGTTTCTGATTCTTTGAATTCCGATTCTGGCGCATATTCTTTTGCTATGAGGTAAAAAACTTTCATACTTATCATCACTTCTACAGTTTGATAAATATTGAGTCGTACAGGCATCGCAACCTATAATTTGTCTGAAGAGGGGATGCGCGTTAATCTCGAATTTCAATTGTCAACGCCTACTGTAACTGTTAAAGAGAGATGCAAACAATAGCCATGTTGTCGGGGGTGATCAGTAGATGATAATATTTTACTTGAATTTGTGTTTGTGTAGCATGCAGATTTTTAGTTATATTTTATTTTTATTTGTTTGTAGTGTTTTCTTTTGATTAGTGACTTACTTGTGTTAAAATGCCGAAACAAAGGAAATAATATTTCATCTATTCGAATATTTTATGAAAAAAATGTTCCTCGGCAACAAATAGTTTAAAAAAAAAACAACGATGATAGTGAAACTTATAGACAATGTGTTGTGAACGATGATCCCAAAACTATCACTGAAATTAAAGAACAAGTTGCTGAAGCTACAGGGTACTCGGTAAAAACAATTGAACAAATAATTATAGAAGGTGAGATATCAAAAGGTGAAAAGTCTACGTCGACTATACCTAAACAATTGTTTAAAAGTCCAAAAAAGCGCAAAAGAACATCAAGTGTAACAGATATTCCATCCTACAATATTGGAACAATCAGAGATATAGTTCATAGATTTCACGAAACAGAAGGTATGCGCGTAACAGTCAAAACTCTTAGTGAAAAATTAAAAAAGGAAATTGAGTGGAAAGGGAGCTACACATCATTAAGAACTATTAAAAAAAAATTGGGTTCAAGTGGCGAAAAACGCGAAACAACAGACAGGTTCTAATAGAACGGCTGACATCGTTATCCCATTGTATATATTGACGAAACTTATATACATAGTAGCCATACATCATCACATAATTTGGGGTGATGATAATGCAAAAGGTTTGTTTTCCACCACTTCGAAAGGAAAGAGACTTATAGTTTATGCTGGTGGTAACATGGGCTTTATTCCTAACAATTTATGAATGTTTGTATCTAGAGCCAAATCTGGTGATTATCATAATGATATGAATCAAGAAAATTATGAAAAGTGGCTAAGAGAACTGTTAATACCAAATTTACTACTATTGTAGTTGTGGATAATGCACCGTATCACAATGTTATAAAAATCCTGCTCCAAATTCAAATACAAGACAAGCTGGAATAATAAACTGGTTGACGTCCAACAATATTGAATTTCAACCTTCCTTATTACGACCACAGCTGTACACGTTAATCAAACAGCATAAAAATAGATTCAAGCAATACAAATTTGATAGATTATTCTCCGAACACGGTAATACAGTTTTGAGATTACCACCATACCACCCAGACTTAAATCCAATAGAAATGATCTGGGCTGTAGTAAAAAATAATGTAGCTATAAAGAATATTCATTTTAAATTAGTACATGTACAAATGTTAGCTGAAATTGAATTTAAATCAGTAACCCAAGAAGACTGGAAAAAAAGATGTGCACATGTAATAGCTGTCGAAGATAAATATTTAGATCGCGAAATTATAATGGATGACGCTGTAATTCCTACAGTTATTATTAATTATTTTTTAATTTGTTTATGTTTATTTTGTTTGATAGTAGGTTAGTGTTAGTATAAATTCAGTATTTGTTGAACTATAACATATGTTTAAAAAATCCTCGTTGCCTTATTTTAACATTTGTATTATGATGACTTTCACCACTTCTACTTCACCCTCACATTTTGTTAAAATATTAAAGATATCAAGTGCAAAATCACCATTTTTTTTCACCTAATAAATTTTTTTAACAGAACACATTTTAGCTCATAGATAACAAATAAATTTTAACAAATTCTGTAGTACTTAAAAACCTATTTACATAATTGCGTTTGATCAATTGTGTAGGTAATCTGGTATTTCCTATTATACCATCAAATGATAGCCACTGTTGATAAAACATTCTTAGAAACGAGGGCGGACTCGATTTGACCGTTATTAAGGATTAAAATTTTAGGTAATTTTCTTAAAATTTTGTGTTAATCTGACCGTGATCGTTTTAAAAATCCTAAAAAAATTATTTTCGGCGAAAGTTGTATACGCTACTGAGCTTTAATAGTAGCCAGTAAGATCGTTTGAAGGTGTGTCAGCAGTGCACGAACTTTACCCCTCAAATTAGGATGCGATGCCTGTACCATCGTATTAAACTCGATTCCAGGTTCTTGGAGAGCTTTATAAACAATATTGATGTGTTTCAGCATTTCTTCTCAAATAATCGTCATTAATACTATCTCAGTTTTGCTCTTTATTCACTATTGTTGGTTTCAGACCTTCACAATTTAAAATATTTTTTAGACTAGTAAGTATATTGTTATAATTGACACGTAATGTTTTGACAGCCTCATTTTTTGCAGAAATATTACTTCCCAGAAAACTTAACTTATACCATCTTCGGGAAGAGACTGGCAAAGAAGATGTAGAGCGATTATACGAGTATAATGGACTATAACAAAGCATCGCCATTTTCAATATTATTTACGTCGAAACAATTAATAATGGTGTCTACTTTAACAAGAAAACATTGATTTATCCTTTTAATTAAGCATTTAGAAGAAAATTGGGATTGTAAAACTATTTCTGATGAAATTTCCCACCTAAATTCACCCTATAGATTAACTACACATTGTTACAATGGTTTTCTTCTCGTTATGCGTAAATTAATTCAGTGGTTTGTATTTGTCTTCTAACTGTGGTTTGTGGACGTGTTCAAATTAGCTGAATTTGGTTTCACAAATCCATAATTCATGTTAAATATTTACAAACGATTTGGAAATAGAAATATAATACAGAATTGTATAATTTTAGTTTCAAACTGACATATATATGAAGTTTCTGACATTTGGTTTATTAGGGAACATAATGATGTTGCAATTATATTAAATGCGCGAGGTACCGCCTAGATGCAATCAAGTCATTTAAGTTTGTAACCAATGTTACTGCCTGTCGAAGTAAAAAAACTGTTATTTATTTAAAATACACAAACATTTTAAAATATACTATACTATAAATTTTAATCGACGCAACCCTTTTTATTTTTTGCAACACCACTTAATGCATTGTCCAGTATTGTTAAAAAAAGAAAAGACCCCTAACTATTTTTCTATTTCACTCTTCCTATAATACATACACACAGAGATGGGACTAATAGAAAAATAAAAGTACACATATGGCAACAAAATTTATTGGTACAGGTCACGGGACATAGGGGACATAAAATTTTCAACTTTAACAATTATTTCTTTGGCCTCTAGTGATTTCTGAACGGCAAAATTTTGCTAAAGTACTTTATAAGTAGTAAAGTTTAAAATGGAGTAATGAAAAAAATATAGCTTCCAAGAAACTTTATGCTGCAGCTGATGTGCCCAATAAAGTAAGGCTATGGTATCTGAGTTGCTATATTAATTTCTTTGAATCTAGCCTGCACACCTGACTAAACTTTCCTTATATTGCCGTATTGTCATACCACACTGACATCTGCAAAACTTTGGGTTTATTCCATGATTCTCTAATATTGAAATTGTAGTATCGAAAAGATATTTGGCATCATGATATTCTATATGAAAAAACATCAAAAAACGTTCTTGTATTATATCACCACTGTTTGAGACGTACTTTATAATAATTATTGATCGGTAGAATCCCAGATATTCTCGATTCCAATCTATAATGTCGTATAACTTGCTGGAAACCGGTCCATGAATGACGTTCTCCTTAGTAACCAAAATTAAAGTTAAGAGTGTAAAATTAAATTTTTATCTATGATGTTGTTCTTTGGACATAATTCAATGCCTGTTACGGTATTAACCAAAAGAGTAGTTGTTTTCCGTAGAGCAGCGTTACTCAAAGTGTGGTCCGCGGAGCCCTGGGGCTCCGCAAAGCCTTTGTGGGGGCTCCGCGAAGAAAATAATAGTCATAACAAAAAAAAGCAGTACCTATCGCTACAACGGGACTTGGCTTTCAGTAAAGCAAGCCATCCACGGTCGAACTTGTTGGTCGAGCATGTTGGGATCGAGCGGCTCGTCCGATATATACGATCGTGGATGTGCTAGCTTCCAACAAGCTCGACGGACTTGTCAGGTTGGACGCTCGGTTGGGTAGATACATCCAACTCCAACAGCGCGCCCAACATGTTGGGACATGTTCGACCGTGGATGGATGAACGTCAAGCAAATCACCTGACACAGCCGCATGTGCCTTCAGTAGAAACAATTTATATAGTTTGTTTCGTGTTCTGTATGTATAGGTTTAAAACTAGTCTTCGTTTTTAATTTCAAAATGACGAGTGACAACAAACAATTCTGGACAGAATTTATAGAATTGTATAGAGAACACCGCGCGTTATGGGATATAAGAAGTAAAAATTATTGTAACAAGCACATAAGGAAAGAAGGGTATGCTGCATTAGTTGAGAAAGCAAAGGAAGTATTTCCAGAAAGCGACGAAAAGTTCGTGAAAAGTAAAATAGAATCTATGAGAGCTTCCTTTCGGAGAGAAAGTAAGAAAAAAGAAAAATCGAAAAGCAAAACCGGCAGTGCCCAAGATGAAGTATACGAACCGACGCTGTGGTACTATGACCTCATGTCATTTATTAGTGACCAAGAAATCGCAAGAAAAGGTATCTCCTCGTTGGTAAATACAAGCAGCGTTGAGGTATCGCAGCAAAATGCAGACGAGCATGACAGTGAAGACGAGGACATAGAAGTTCAAAGAGAAAAGGCCAGTGTAAGTATTTTATTGTATTAAAAACTCTTTGTAGGTAGTCTAAACATTTATTTTTTTAGTAATATAAAATGTAGAACTAAACTGAACATTTTTTCTTTTGAAATGTAAATAATGGTTTTACTTTGATAAACCGAAACGTCGTAAATGTGGTGTTTAGCTTTGTTGAACATTTTACAATAGTAAAACATTATCGACCTTTATTTTTTTTACACCGTAAAAACATATTAATGCTAAACTAAATGACATTTGCTTTACACTGCAATACTTAGAGTATACAGAGTGTACGAGTAAATAATGCACTCCTTAAATGGATTTGTTCAGTAGCGTATATAAATTGTATACCTCGCCTTAAAGGAATGCATTATTTTCGAGGACACTCTGCACGTTAGTAAGACAACACTAGCGTTTGTTTATCATTTGTTCTTGGAATGCAACACTTCCTTCGTTGTTATAAAAAGATTTGTACGTATTTCGGACAACATTAGCCAATGATTCTTCTCTACCGGCTCGATCTGGCCTTATTTGCCTAAGACCCAGTAGTTCACGAACACACTGTCTCCATTCACCCTCTGTGAGCTGGCCTGTTGTAGTATCTTCAAAATCCACAGAACTTGGAGTCAAATATGACGGACTTCTTCGCCGTAAAAAATTATGTAGAGCACAACATGCAAGTACCTACAATTATTTCTGTTTTCTGTACATCCATATTTAGTTTTGTCTGTAATGCTCTAAACCTGCTGGCAAGGATGCCAAACGCATTCTCAACTACTCGCCTAGCACGGCATATCCTATAATTAAATATTTTTTCATCGTGTGTTATTCTTTGGTTTGGGTACGGCTTCATCAAATTTTCTTTAAGATGGAAAGCTTCGTCACCAATAAATGTGAAAGATAAGCAAACATTTCGTTGATTGGGGAAGCTTGTATGTGAAGGCAAATGTAATTGCTTACGTTCCAACAATTCCCCGAAATCTGTTTGAAGAAGTACTCCTCCATCGGATACTCTTCCATTTGTTCCAGCATTTACGTAAATAAATTCATAATTAGCATTGACTACCGCCAACAGAACAATGCTGAAGAATCCTTTGTAATTATAAAAATATGAACCACTTCCCTTAGGCTGTTGAATCGCAATATGTTTGCCATCCAAAGCACCGACACAATTTTCAACTTGCCAGTATTTGTTGAAATCTGTTGCAATGTTTATCCAGTCCAGCTCATTAGCAGGAAACTGTAATAAAAAACTGTATTTTAACAGATTAATGTATTTTAACAGATTAATGTATTTTAATAGAATTTTAATATATTTAATAGAGTGATTAATATTATTATTATTTTTTTAATATTATTATTATATTATTACATAAGTTATCATAATTTTAATAATGCTAACTCAACTTTGTATTATTTTAGGAGATTAACGATGCGTCCAGCGTATTTGAAGATGCAAATTCGTCAACGAACACAAGCCGTCCACATTCCGCTATCAGTGATGTAGCAACACCACGTACATCATCTTCACGCACACCGGTACAATGCAGGAAGAGGAAGTCCGTGAATGAATTTGAGAAGAAAAAAGAAAATTTCTTGGATGTGGCAACCTCTGTACTAACCCAAGACTCATCATTTAGAGCATTCGGAAATAACGTATCCTTTCAGCTACAGGACATGGATCGCCGTCAACGGGTGATAGCTGAGAAACTGATATCAGACGTTCTCTTTCACGGAAAACTAGGCAATTTAAAAGACCATTCTACAATCGTTATACAAGAAAAAATCCAGCAGCCTAATAATCCTACTCATAACAATTCAAACTTTATGAACAGGCATACCCAGTCTCAACCTTACCGTTCAGACTTCTATTATAATCGCCCTCATATCGATGTTCACCCTTCATACGCACACAACTTCGATGGATCAGCCGATTTTCCGCACCAACATTACAGCAATGACCCTCACCTATATTTTTCTCAAGGAACAACCAGAGTGTCTACGTTACCGTCATCTGTTGTTGTTACATCAACCTTAATGTCAACCTGTCATCCACCTGCATCTACATACACACACGGTTCAGACGCACCAAATGCATTGAAAGCAAATACTTCAAATAGTCACTCCACAGGATTTGGAAGTTTTTCATCCCCCGCTTCGGTTGAAAGAAGCAACAATCCAGACGAGAGACTAGAAATAGGGCAGTTTCTGCTACTACCTGATGCTGGAAGTGCTGAGCAGTGAACAAACACAACGAATTACTTTGTTTAAGAATAAATAATTTATGTTATAGTTCAATAAAAGTATTATTTTTTTACTCCTCCACTTATTTCTTATTAGGTATATTTTATTTCTGACAATTTACACACATGCAATTTATTTCAGTCATGGCATGCTTACCTTTAAATAATCCTCTTTAAGAACATCAAAAATAGCGGCACATGTTTCTGGAATTATACGTCCTAACGTTTGTGCAGATATCGCACAACTAAATTTTAAGTTCTCATAATTTTTTCCACTAGCTAAAAACTGCAGTGTGGCAACAAGACGCTCCTTTGCACTTATACAGTCTCTCATGTTAGTATTTTGCTTTTGAATTAAGGTGGCGACTTTTCCAAGTAATTCCTGAAACACGTCCTGATCCATCCGAAGATAGTTCCGGAAATCCTGTGGCTCGTTGGTGGCCAGTTCTGCGAGTAAAGACATGTGGCTAAATTTTTTTCGCTGTAACAGCCATTGCTTGGTCCACACACGAGGCGCTCTTCTTTTTCTCTTTTTGTCCACAATCAACAAAACACCACCACATACAGCTATTGCCGCGTTGAAATCCATCGTAATACTAATGTCGCACCAACATGTTGGATATATTGTTTGACTGTGGATGGAGTCGGGTATACATGCTGGGTTGGGTGTATATATCGGACGAGCCGCTCGATCCCAACATGCTCGACCAACAAGTTCGACCGTGGATGGCTTGCTTGAGGAAGGAGTATACGATTTCGGTATTTTGGTTGGAGGACCTTTTTTTTAGAGGCCAGAGAAAGGATTATCTGATTTTTAGAATTTTGTTGTAGGGGCTCCGCAAAGAAACGGGAGGGACCTGGCAAGAGGCTAGGGCAAGGAGGATTTTTTTTGTTCGAAAAGTGTTTAGGGCTCCGTCAAATATTTCGCTTTTCAAGAAGGTTCCAAACCAAAAAAGTTTGAGAACCACTGCCGTAGAGAAACGTTCGCTCGTTACACACATATCTTAGAGAAATTTTTGATATTATTTATTTTACGTTTTGTTCACATTTGAGTTTTGAATGATATTCATTTGTTTTAAATATAACATTTGTAAATATACTAAAGTTTCTCATTTTAATAGTGCTACAAAAAAATAATGTTGGAACCTACGTTAGGAGTGCCTAGGGCAGTGGCGGCTCGTGGTAATTTAAAATGGGGGTTCAATTTTTTCCAATAATTTTAGCATTTGTAAAACTTTGTACAAGAGCCAATATCCCTCAAAACTTCTTTGGCATCGCCCGTTTTAATACAATTAAATTCCTTTATACAATGCCTGAGTCATGAAAAGGTTGCTTAATACCATCACTTAGATGATCCATTACTAGAAATGGTACAAGCGCAGAAACTACCGTTTTTATTTCATCTGAAACTCGTAACATTTTCGAAGAACTTCTCAATCTAAAAAAAGCAAAATTTTCCGTTGTTTTGGTTAGAGATGACAAACCTAAGAGCTGCCAGTGAATCCTGAAATATGCTTTTTATACAGCGCACAAACATTTGCTCTTTTAGTGAAGCAATTCTTGATTAAATTACATGGCAATACAAACGCCACTACACCCACCCTGGGTATTGCAAAGCCAAGATGAAAATAATGGGTTTTGTTCAAATTTCGCCCGGTGGAACTGTTTAAAACTTTATTTACACTACATCACACTATAAATAAAAGCAATCGTATTAAGTAAATTCAAACCCCGAACAAATTACAAAAATCGGTTATTTTAGATTAATCGGATATTTTCGATTTTTTAGAGATTTTATATTCGATTTTTATTAGTAAATAGTACCTACTAATCTAAAATGCCGCAATTACTCGTAATCATGCAATGAGCCCATTATTTTTGTTGACCTTTTTCTGGAGCGCAAGTGACCGAAAGAGGTTGAAAGCGCACCCTACGAATCCTTTAATCCGGCACTGATCTCTCCAGTAGATGAATGGTTCACTCTCTGTCCAGTTTGAGTTAATTCTTTGGCAATAATAGTATATGATTTGAATATTCATATACGATTGAAGAAGACATTATTAGGTACATTAATACCCTTATTAAATTTTGAAAAATTTCATAGGTAAATATCAGAAGCAAATACAATTTTAAAATTTTTTGATTGCTAATTCTGAAACATGCAAATCTATCATCATAATGGAGGAAGTAAAATAATTTACAGCGGTAAAGAAATGTTTATAAACAATTTTTAAAGTGTTTATAATAAAATGGTCTTCACCTCATAACATAATTTTATTTATCTACTCGTATACCAACTTCGCTTCAAGCTAGTAGTAGTTACTCAATTACAGCACTTTCGTTTTAATCGTATAATAAGTTTCCATTGTTTAAATCTTTGTGTTTTTATTTAACGGTGGGTGATTGTGAATAAGTCAAATTTCGAAACAGTTTCATGACGTAGAGGTCTTTGCCGATGACAATTTTATAGTCGGCCTAATTTGTCTTCTTTTACGTAATAATTAACTTTCGCATCAAACTTTCGTAACTTGGAAACGTTCTCGACGTTATTTTGGTTGTGGTTTCTAGCCATTATCGTTAGTGATAGAAATATGTGCACACACATTTCAGTTTATAAACTGTTGATAATAACATCTGAATTATGACTGACGAATGTTACATTTTACAACATTCACGAGAAAATTCGAATATTTTATATGGTGTATTATGTGTGATTTATAATGCGAGAAAGTCGAATATCTTTCTTATCAAAAGAAATATGAGAAAATGTTTTAAATAAAAGTTATAGGGTTGCATGTCTCTAAAATACTGTGAAATATACCGATTGTTTCATTACATCATGTATTTCACGTTCAATACTAAGTTTTTTTTTATACTGCAACGACGTCAATTTATGGCAAAAAAGTGAAAAATTACTAAAATATATTTTGAGAGGATCAAAAGTTTATTTTTCTGTACAGACGATTTTATAAAAGACATCAACTTGATATTCTTTAAACATCTATAACTTCGTTTAATAATACTCTCTCTAATTCACCCCCTTACAAGTGAATTTTAATCCCAAGAGCTGAGCTCGTGCGGGGAAAGGGACGACGAAAGGTTTGATGAAAGTGAAGACCTAGCAATATATTATTTCACTATTTGTTCACTATAGTCATTAAGTAATAGTTTTTGTCAAATGTTAATTACAATTGATGATATAAAAATAAAATGACTGGACTTCCCTCACACTAATGATTCCACCCTGTATATTGCCGAATGCAATAAGTATAGAATGAGAACTGAGATGTAATATGCATAACAATTCGATGTGCTAGAACAATAACAACTTAAAAATAAAACGTAATTGAACTTAAATAATTAATGTTTTATGTAGTTCGTTGTTATTTGTATATAATAACCTACTGTGAATGTTTTTATTGTTATTAAGTGTCAACTTTTTTTTCAATAATTATTTTATAAGATCTTCCTGTATTGTTTTCGTAAAAAGCACATTTTCAGAAGATATCTGGGTTCTTGCTTTGTTATCTTAGTATTGAATTGTCTCATTGTTTGTTTAAAGTGTTTGCAGTGTCTTTGTATCGTTCTATTCTTTTTAGGCAATAAGCAAACTTAACTCAGAAAATTTTAAAAACGTCATAAAAAAGTGACAGTTGACAGGCGAAAAATTTAATACCGATTCGGGCACCCTCCGATATCTAAGGCATCTACCACTAACATAATCGCCCTTATTCAAAGCACCCAGTTCTCCCAGGAGGGAGACAAAGGTCAAAAAACACGATTTTCGGTGCATTTTCACCGTTACCATGGAAACCGCGAAACAGATTTTTACGCGGAATTTTTTTTAGATGCGTCCCGTGGGTTTACACGTTCCGGCCAAATTTCGTCAAAATCGCTCCACTCGTTACTGAGATATGATTTTTTAATCAATTTCGGAAACCCCTTTTTTTCCAATAAAAAGAAATATTTCTATTATATTAGGACAACGTAATGTAATGTAAATTATCCTTATATTTGCCGCGTTTGAGAATCCACATCCGATGCATCTGAGATGTAAAAAATCTTTAATCACGTGATTCAGTATACGTAAATGTAATGGGATAGATGTGTCCGATGTGGATAAAAAAACGCTCGAGATGTAAAAAATGCATCCGATGTGGATTCCCAAACGCGGCAATAGTATCTGTAACTTGTGGAGGGTGGGTTCCTACGGCACTCAGGCAGGCCCAGCAAACGCGTCACGCCAAAGTACAAAGTTCGCCAGCTCCCCAGAAAAAGAAAGACCACAAGCTGAGGACGCTTTTTTTGGGACTTTTTTTTAGAAATGTCACCAAGAAAGGACCTGATTTCATACAAATGTTTGGTTTTTCAAACTGATCCACTGTCGTCACGGTTATCCCGCTATTCCCTTTCGTAAATCTACCAACCCTTGTCAGTGTTTTGCCCCGGGGCCCCACCATGGCTCTAGGCAGCCCTGACTAGGTCCATTATCATGGAGTTAGAAGGTAGGGAGACGTTATAAGCATCTTTTTCAAACATTTAAAACGGTATCACTTGGCTTATGACGATTCAATATGGCCGATTTGCCAGATACGGACTATTTTGAATGCAAATCCAAACCTACATATTTTTTTTTAGGAAATGCGATTTAAATTAAAACGGATGATTATGGTTATAATAACTAATTTTCAGTAATTTTCTTATTAACAAAATAAGTTTTAAGAAATAAAAATAAAATAAGTTTCAAACAATAAAAAAATGTTAAGTTGAAGATTTTATGTTAGTATTTTATAGAATAATTATAAAGTGCCGAACTTTCATTTGATGTATCATGGTTTATCATAGGTTAGACCGTAACTGATCTAACAAAATAATCAAACAGTTGTTAAATAGGCAAAATAACAAATAATATAAAAATTATGATTGACCATTTTATTGTTGTGATATCACATTTTTTTATTTTATTTTTAACGAGGAAAAACATTCTAATGTTTGTATATT